TTGTATAGTCTAGGTACCTTGTTTTGTGACCCTTACCTCTTATAAGTGTAGGACTATTAATACCATTATTATCAATATTTCATTTTTTATTTTTTTGGTTCTACTAAGTTGAAATGGGTCATTTGAACGTACAGGCTCATTAGAAGCCTAAACCGGATTTCAATATTCAGTATTGCAGCACTCAGTTTCTTATCTGAGTTCGGAGCTCCCCCTAGTGGAGGGAAAAGGTGAGGCTAATGCTGTTGGGAAGTCTCATGTTTTTGATTATCCTGCTGCTAGTTCTAGTTCAGAGAACATGCTTAGGAATAGGGTTCAGGTTTAATACTCTCTGTTCTGAGAGTTTAGGGGGTTCTTTCACAATGGGGGGGGGGCAGGCCCTTTTTTTTTTTTTTTGTATGTGTATATGTCTCTGGTGTCTATATGTGTGTATGTCTCCGTTTACCATCCTTTCTCCTGCCTTCTTACATCAATACTCGGCCAGGCAGAAGCAGTCTCTCTTTGTGTATCTTTGAAAACGATATATGGCGGGTACGTCTAAAGGCACAGGTGCCAACTTGAGATTTGTATCATGGAACGTTAAGGGGCTGAATAGTCCAACCAAAAGAGGCAGGATTCTCTCGCATCTTAAACAACTGAAAGCGGATATAGCCTTCCTGCAGGAGACTCACTTGGTTGCTAGGGATCTTTACAGGTTGAGGGCGCCGTGGATCGGTCAATCCTTCCACTCCAACTTTGGTAATAAATCTCGGGGGGTGGCTATTTTATTCCATAAGAGAGTGCAGTTTACTCCGTCTAAAATAGTAACTGATTCTCAAGGGCGGTTCATCATAATTACAGGTTCCCTCAATAATGTTGCAGTCAGTCTTATTAATTTATACGCACCCAACTGGGACAATGAAGATTTTGTCTATAAGGTTATTTCATCAATTCCAGATTTAAACAATCATTGGCTTATTCTAGGAGGTGACCTAAACTGCACAATAGACCCAATGCTGGATAGATCTTCAACAAGACCGCAGCCACCCTCTAAAATGGCTAAGGCTTTCTCCTCTTTTTTTGGTCAAGTGGGAGGGGTGGACCCGTGGCGGTTTCTCAACCCTGACAAAAAACAGTTTTCATTTTACTCACATGTACATTCAACGTTTTCACGAATAGATTATTTTTTCATAGATAACAGCTTCCTCCCGACTCTAACTTATGTTGACTACTCAGCAATAGTCATATCAGACCATGCACCGGTGCTCCTGGACCTGTCTTTTAGCCTCCTGCAAAAAAATCACCCCAACTGGAGATTAAACTGCACTTTATTCAATGATATCAGTTTTAAATCCAAAATCTCAGACGCAATAGACAACTTTATTATAGACAACAAATCAGATGCTATTTCTCCTTCTTTGATATGGGAATCACTGAAAGCTGTTATAAGGGGAGGGATCATTTCATATTCTATTAGTTTCAATAAAAATAAGGGCCAGAAAAAGGAGCAACTAATGAGAGATATTAAAAACCTGGATGATGTTCTCTCAACATCTCCATCTCCAGAGCGCATCAAGGCGAGACAAAATTTGCAAATGGAATATAACTTACTTACAACGCATGAGACAGAAAAATTATTGCTGCACTCGAGGGGCCTTGTCTATGAGTATGGTGAGAAAGCAGGGCGACTGCTGGCCCACCAACTCAGGACAAGGGTAGCAAATCAGCAAATCAGACAAATAAAAACTTCCTCTGGAGAAATTACAGTAATCCCATCAATCATCAATGAAACTTTTAAAAACTTCTACTCTACACTGTATACATCGGAGGCCTCCAACACTGACTTTGATCAAGCTTCGTTTCTTAGTAACTTGGAATTCCCTTACATTAACCCTGATAAGGTAGACTATATGGATCAACCTCTAACAATTAATGAAATCACCGATGCAATTAAATCGATGCACAGTGGGAAAGCCCCAGGCCCAGATGGATATCCTATAGAATTCTACAAAATATTCAGCGATAAATTAAGCCCCCTTCTCCTCCAAATGTTCAATGATTCTCTCAATCGGGGTACGTTACCACAGACCCTCACAGAAGCATCTATAACACTATTACTAAAACCAAACAAGGATACTACAGAATGCGGCTCTTATAGACCGATTTCACTCCTGAACAGTGACTATAAAATTTTAGCCAAAATTCTTGCTAAGAGATTGGAATCTATTCTACCAGACATCATATCTTCAGACCAGACGGGATTCATGAGAGACCGCCACTCATTCTCAAATATTCGTAGACTTTTAAATGTTATTCTATCTCCAGGTCCAGTCGATGTTGCGGAGGCAGTGATCTCACTAGATGCCGAAAAGGCGTTTGACAGGGTCGAGTGGGGATACCTGTTTGATGTTCTTGGGAGATTTGGCTTGGGGTCTAAATATATTTCATGGATTAAGTTACTATATTCTTCACCCAAAGCCTCAGTAAGTACAAATGGAATGAGATCACAGTACTTCACACTTTCCAGGTCCACACGCCAGGGGTGCCCCTTGAGTCCCCTACTATTTGCTATGGCAATTGAGCCACTATCTATAGCTCTCAAATCCATGAATCATAACCAAGGGATCACTAGAGGTGCATCGAAACATGTGCTTTCGCTTTATGCAGATGACTTGTTGTTGTTTGTCTCCAATCCTATTACCACCATTCCTCGTATAATTGAACTATTAGACAGATTCGGAACCTTCTCAGGTTACAAACTAAACTATTCCAAAAGTGAATGCTTTTTAATTAACAATCCAGCCCCACAGATTGTGGAAAATGATCTCCCCTTTAAATTATCTGGTAGCAGTTTTAAATACTTAGGGGTGAATATTTGCAAACAGTTATCTGCTATTTTCAAGACTAACTTTTTACCTCTGACAGAACAAGTTCAATCAGACTTGGAAAGGTGGAAGAACTTGCACTTATCCATTGCAGGCAGGATAAACTGCATAAAGATGAATGTACTCCCACGCTTTTTATATCTCTTCCAGAGCCTGCCAATCTATCTACCAAAAGCATTCTTTAATAAGATCAACAAGTTGTTCTCCTCCTTTATATGGAAGAATGGGGTTCCCAGGGTCAGGCGTGGGTTTCTAGAAAGGGATAGGTCAGGTGGCGGACTCGCACTCCCAAACTTGAGAAGTTATTATTGGGCAGCCAACATTCAAAAGGTTATCCTCTGGATCCAACAACCTACACTGAGTTGGTGTGAACTAGAAGCTGGTTCATGCACTTCGACTTCCCTGTTAGCACTAATTACATCTAAGTTACCCATTCCGACATCTAAATACACGGATAACCCTATTGTTATCACAACATTAAAGATCTGGTCTCAATTTAGGCTCACTCATGGTTATAAAGAGGCCTCTAATCTTAGTCCCATTTGTAGAAATCATCTCTTCCCTGCCTCGGGGGTGGATGCTACCTTCCTCACATGGCGTAGGTTGGGCCTTAAAAACTTAAGGGATCTTTACACTAATAATACTTTTAGCAGTTTTACAGAACTTTGTAAAAGGTTTGATCTTCCACAGTCACACCTTTTTCGTTACTTCCAGATCCGTAACTATGCCAAGATGAATAATCCAATCTTTCCAAATGCCCCCCCAAATACAGTAATCGACTCGCTCCTGGATTTCCCCGTACTCCAGAGGGGTCTAATTTCTAAAATATATAATTTCATATCTCAACTATCAGAGACCGCATTAGATGAGATCAGAAAAGTTTGGGAAGATGAATTGGGGAGTCCATTGAATGATGATGAGTGGCAGAAGGCCCTAGCGAGAGTAAACGGGAGCACATCTTGTGTAAGAATGAGCTTGATACAATTTAAAGTAATTCATCGCATCTACTTTACTAACTCTAAACTCTCTAAAATATACACCAATGTTAGTGACAAGTGTAACAGATGTAACTTATCTCCCGCAAACATGACACATATGTTTTGGTCCTGTCCTCGACTTCATGACTTCTGGAAAACTATTTTTAATCATATGTCCCGATTTTTCAATCTTACATTGTTGCCGAATGAGAGGACTGCGATATTTGGGTTAATGCCAAACCCTGACAACTTCAGAAAATCTATAAGAGATGTTATTGCCTTTGCGTCCCTATTGGCGCGGAGAAGAATCCTGCTGGGCTGGAAATCACCGCTTGCCCCTACTGCTTTTGCTTGGCTGAGAGACCTCATGATGTTTATTAACTTGGAAAAAATCAAGTATAGTGTAAGAGGATCCACTGAGAGTTTTGAGACAATTTGGAAATTACCGTTGGAATACATGAGATCTTTGAAGACACTGGAATGAGAATAACCACCGCTTTGAGTTCAAGGTTGGGAACTTACCCCCCCCCCCCCTTTTTTTGTCGTGGTGTGGCTGTCGGCGGGTCTGTTTTCGTGCTGTTTTATTTTTTTGATCTTCTGTTTTTTATTGTTTTTTTATTATTATTATTTTTTGTTTGTTTATTAATTAATTTATTTAATTGATTTGTTTATTTACGTATTTTCTCTTTTTGTATGGGTGCTTATATAAGATATGTTCCAGCATGGGCGTAGTTCCACTGCCTGAAAATCCAATTTCAAATACACTACCTCTCTCTCCCTTTTATATGTCAAAATCCCTTGGAAATTGAATGGGGAAGGGGAGGAGCAAGGGGAAAGGGGGTAAGGAAAAAGGAAAAAGAAAAATGTAACTCTTCCATATAACTGTGCTTTGTAAATGTGAAAAATCAATAAACATATTAAAAAAAAAAAAAAAAGAAAAGTGCAAACAAGTGAGAATCTAAATATAAGAGGCACGGTACCAAACACACTGTTATACCGCCAATATAATAGGAGTTAGGAGAGTATTTAAAAACCTGATTAATCCTTCACCTGTGCTCTAGAGGCAATGACAGTCACACCTGTAAACTAAACAATGCTTGACTGCTGCAGATAACAAACTCATTTACAATCTACCAATATAGCCTGGAGGGTGTTCACTTACAGCTCCGGCTTTTGCTCTGGTTGTGCCCAGACAGCAGTAGCCCACATCGTGACCTTTGAAGGCATCAGCGTAATCATCAAGCTTTTCAAAGTCAACCACCTCCTGTAACTGTGGACAAAAACCACAAACAAGCATGAAGCAAAGTGTCATGACTTACTGACCACAGTCGCTGCATCAATCACTGACCAGGTCATCATTCGCTTTGCCTTCAAAGGTCAGCTGCCTGCGTCCAATGAGGGTGATCTTGGAGAAGATGCTGCGTTCCAGCAGCTCTTGGAGCAGCAGCCTGCCGGTTTCCAGAAGCACCGAGAATAAAGCAGCTTTTGTTCTGGAGCCTGAAGTTGTCCTCCAAGGTCTTCATGTCTTCAGCCATGCTGTAAAGCAAAGACAGGAGACACATCTGTTTGCAAAAGCAATCCATGCATTTAACAAAAGGCTGCATCACCTTAATATCCGGGGGGTTTAAAACATTGTAGCTTTAGTAATGTTAGAACTAGTGGTTATTGGGGTTTTAAGAGACACATGTACATAAAACAGACATGGGTTCACTCAGTTAGGTATGTAGACATGAAAATGATTCAAATGGCTGATTTCCTACATGTTTCTGCTCTAAATTCGCTCCATGCCTTAAAAAACTAGCACCACTCAATCTGTATACAGATCTTTGTCCAATTATACACGCCATTATTCATATTTATGTCATCAAACAGATGTGCGAGTTTTTAGACTCTAAAGCTAGTCTTTTACCTTGTATATTCACTTGGAGCACTATCGTCAAAATAAACTAAAGCGGCAGCAATAATAAGAGCAGTGACGGATAAAATCCAGGCCTCTTTTCCCAGGGAGGTTCCGAGGAGTTTCATAACAGACAGTGGAAGGAGCGCCAAGTACTTCCTGGTTGCTTCACCTCGTCAGTCGGTGTCTTCCTGCTCCTACCGGACAGCGGGGAAAATGCGATTACCTGTCATCACTACTGTTTGCAAATGTTGTAATACGCAGGTTAAGCTGCCAGTAGGTGTAAATATTCACCATTTACGTCTGTAAACACAGCAGAAATCTCTCCTTTACCGAACGGAGCGCTCCAAGGTTGACGCATGCGCAGTGGAGCTGAGACTCGTCAAGGCTTCTAGTGTAAAAGTGATGGGAAAAGGTTGTTTTTTCCATCCTGTTACACCGTTTTCTTAGGTTGTTTTAAATGTGGTGGGATGCTTGTGTTGTTGATTTGTTAATATGGTTACAGAAATAAACAGTTTGTGGATTCGTGAGATTTTACTTTGTAGTTATTGTTTTTACTCTCAACCTGTCATTTTATTCAGGGTTTGATTAATTCTTCGTTTGTCTACTTCTTAACTTCTTAATATGTTTTATTTTAGGGTGTGTTTCATGTGGCTGCATTGTCATGAACAGCACTTAGGGTTGTGTGATCAACAGTAAATACGTTCTACAAAAGTAGACCTTGATCCTGTGGTACCCCCCCCCCCCCCCCCCCCCCACCCACCCCCACCCCCCAATTATCTGTGTGCATGTGTACGTGCATTTATTAGCAAACGTTTACGAGTCACGGGGCAGATCTTAATGAAACTCCCAAAGAGTGATAAAATGTACATCTACAACTGATTCACTTTTGACGTCTTACTCAAAATGGGCAACATCTGAACTTGGTCAAAACAATAATGAATACAACACAGTCAGTTTAACCCTCCCACTGTCCTAATGGGGGTGACACTGCAAGGAAAGTTGACCACTGAGCAGGGTTGATGGTTTATCCCTTGGGTCCATGTGGCAGGGGTGAGGAGTGAGCACGCCACGAGGACCTCAAGGGATAAACCATCAATCCTGCTCAATGGTCACCTTTCCTCACGGGGTCACCCATAAAGCCAGTGGGAGGGTTAACAGATATTGAACTCAAATTTGAGTGGGAAACTGGTAGTCATTCACGAAAAAAATATAAAACAATAACTGAGTTTCAAAGGTCAGACACTGTAATATTTTGTTGGACCGTCTTTAGCTTTGATTACGACACACATCCACTGTGGCGTTGTTTTGATAAACTTCTGCAACATCACCAGATTTATTTCCATTCAGTGTTGCATTAATGTTTCACCAAGGTCTTGCACCGATGAAGGTTGAGTCTGACCACTGCACAAAGCCTTCTCCAGCACATCCCAAAGACTCTCAATGGGGTTAAGGTCTAGACTCTGTGGTGGCCGATCCATGTGTGAAAAGAATGTCTCATGCTCCCTGAACCACTCTTTCACTATTTGAGCCTGGTGAATCTTGGCATTGTCTTCTTGGAATATGCCCGTGCCATCAGGGAAGATGGAATGACCTGATCATTCAGGATATTCAGGTAGTCAGCTGACCTTATTCTGGAAGCAAATCCTGTTGCTGAACCTAGACCTGACCAACTGCAGCAACCCCAGATCATAACACTGCCCCCACAGGCTTGTACAGTAGGCACTAGGCATGATGGGTGCATCACTTCATCTGCCTCTCTTCTTACCCTGATGCACCATCGCTCTGGAACAGGGTTCATCTGGACTCAACAGAACAGTGTTTAATAATGAGTTGGACAGTTCTGAACTGTTTTAGTCATTTCTACAATCTCCTTAGATGTTCCTCTGCTTGATGCATGCCAATGATCTGACCCTTCTCAACAGAAACATCTTTTCCACGACCACCAGATGTTTTTTTCCACATGGTTGTTTAAGAAATGAGATGCAACTCATTGCACCTGCTGGGGTTAAATCCAAGTGGCGACATATTTTTTTTTCTTGTATTTTCTCTTTCACGGCTAAACGTAAGATGATCTCAGCTCAGAACTTGAGCATTAAAGACATGATAAGGATATGAAATAATTCAATGGATAGAAAGAATTATAGATTTAAAATGAAAATACTGTGGTTTATTTTTTCTATTATTTTTTTTGGCAATTTGTGTTTCTTCTTTGGTTGCATAGCGAAAATCATCATCCACCTGCAGTAAGGCTAATATTCTTTATATTTTAAAATCAAAAGCTGAGAAGAAAGTTAGGCTTGCAAAAAATATCACTTGTAAGCAGCTGAAGGTTTGTTTTTCACTCACCTGAATTTATAGGAAACTTTCAAACATTACTTCTGGGAAGAATACATACTACAGTAATGTGTAATTTAGTACTAAATGTGTCACGGCCGACTCTTATCTTCAGTAACACTTAATAAAAATTAAACTGACTTGTGGTTTGATGTGTTAAAAAGTCGCCTGGAATGGCGTGACATCTCCGCCATCTAATATGAAAACCTAGCCAGGATCCAAAGTGAAGGCCAAATACTGAAAATGTTTTTGCCTTTTGTCAGACAGTCAGGGGGTTTCATTTGCCAAAATCTTCACACAAAGAAAGCAAGTCCAGTCACATGCAATGAATTCATCAACACCCCATGTTTTTAACACCCCTGCCACTTTGAACACAAGGCATCGACCCAATCTAATAGAAAATGATGCAGCCAGGGATGATCCTTTAAAGATGTCAGCAGTAAAAGACAGAAACAAAAGAGGCTGAGGTTGGAGGGAAGAGGCCTTAAACTGGCACTCTGCTGAAATGAAATGTCGCCTCTTTGTTCCTGAGCTGCGGGTGCTAATTGGACCCAGCGGCAGGGAAGAAAGCTGCTGCTGTGCTCCTGTCTGTCGCACCTGTTGAGTCATTGTTTCACACATTGATTTGACAGGAAGCAGGAGGAAGAAGGCTTATTCCTCGCTGGGTGCGTGGCAGAAACGTGGTTCAATTTTCTTTTAAAGCTCCGCTGCTGGAGGTGGAAATACCAATGGTGGTCAGTGATCAATTGCGTTTAACCATTGATTAGCTGAAAGTAAAAGACATGTGGACTGTGAAGAGTTGTATTTTACTCAGATTTTTCATTTTCAAAGAGGTGGTCCGACATATCTTAAATATTGCGTAACTAGCTTTATTCTTGTATCAGATAAAGTCCTGTTCAGATTGGATATGTTCACATAAACTTTCTCCTCCCACCATTTTCATTGTTAATAATTTAGACACCAACAACACACCAACACCAACCAAATGTAGTGGGTTTGTCCTACAAAGCTTGTAGAATATGTTCCACAACGGTAAAGAAGGCCCTGTCCACATGTAGCCGGGGATCTGCCAAAACGTAGATATTTTTCTACGTTTTGGCCCGTCATCCACACGAAAATGGAGTTTTTTCACAGGAAAACGGATCTCTTTAAAAACTCCGGCCAAAGTGAAGATCTGCGTTTTCTCCGTTTTGGGTGTCTGCGTGTGGACGGACAAAACCGGAGTTTTAAGGTCCGCAACGTCACTTTCCACGACAAAAAAATGCTGACATCACGTGTGCGACCTGTGTTTACACTAGCCGACAGCATGGATGCCCTCAGAGCTGCGCTCGCTTTATCAACTGTCCAAGCGCTTTTTGCTTGTTTGTTTTTGCAAGCGGAATTACTGCTCCTTGCGGAAGACCACAGACGAAGGACGAGGTTAAGAACGGCTATTGCCCAGCACCTGGCTCAAGTACCAAGCACCAAGTACTGCCGCCTACAGGTCTGGCATGTCCTTAACAACGTATTTATCCAGGTATGTGTGGACAGTTTTTTTTAAACGAGGTGGTGTGGATGCAAGTTTTTGGAGGGGCGGATATTCGTTTTAAAAAAAAACCCGGCTACGTGTGGACTAGGGCCAGGCAGGGGGTCGGGAAGTCGTGGATTTACACACCATTGATCCCAAAGTGCAAATAAGGCTGACACTTACATGGCAAAATAAAGTTTTTATAATGAGCTCGGTCAAAAAATATATTTGCCCCGCTCTCTTTTTCTTCCGAGCATTTCTCATCAAGCATGCCCGCTGAACACACCTGACAGTCTGCTGGTCCGCACACACCTGCCTCTCGTTAGGCAATTACCTTCTATCCTTTGTGGATGGATGGATGGTTATTAAAGAGACCGTGGTCTATCAATCTCAAGCCTACATGAAGAAATTTCTTGTCCTTTTAAGGCTTTTGATTGTCATCCTGGTTAGCTGAGTATCCATCAGAAAGGGGAGTATCCTGTCTGATGGTTGTACCCCAGGGGATTGCCCTGTCTCCATGTTTAACCTGTCTTTCACCCCTCAGACTTTTAGAACAACACTGAGTCAAATGTTCTCTGAAGCAAAGATTGTCTGAGTAAGCAGGAATAGTGCCAGGATCTTTCTGGGGCAGTCCAGTAGGAAGTGTCTTCTTAGAAGGAAAACAGTAGTCAACTTCAGGAGAAAAAGTTTATCTGACCACAGTCATCTACATCCTGAAGTGGAGGTTGTTGTCAGATACAAGCACCCTGACTCTGGCAACTAATAGGAAATGATCAGACTTGGTGTTTTTTCAGTCTGTGTGGCAGGTTACTGTGATCGCCATGCTGCTTCATTTCCAGGACTGAACTCATTATTTCAGCCAAAAAGATTGCTGGAGAGAACCCAAAGACATTTGAATCAGTGAGAAACAGAGACAATCTATCCTAGCTCATTCAAGACATCCTACAGGAACAGAAAACATCCCCATCTAAAAGGTTAACTCAGCTCACTTGTCATAAATGAGTGGAAAATAAACCTGGACATTTCAATTCATCACTGACTGAGCCACGCAGAGACCAACAGCAGTCACTTTCAGACTTACACCAAAGGGGTTGCCAGTTAACCTAACATGCATGTTTGTAGTCTGTGGGAGGAAACATGAGAACTAGAAGAAATCTGATGCATCACGAGGAGAACATTGTAACTCCACACAGAAAGGCTGCATTCAGGATTCAAACCTGCAACATTCTCACTCAGAGGCACCAGTACAACCAACCAGTCCCACATTTTCTACGATACAAAACAGTTTTAGCATTATTATGAGTCAGACTTTGTAGATTTTTAAATAAAGCACAAGTGGCACACACATGTCACACACAGACCTTGCTGCAGCACAGCAGCACAGCTTAATGCTTTGCAGTGCAGCTCCACAGACTCTGGAGTGTGATGCTAATGATGGTAATTAATGGAGCCTGACAGCACAATCTGCTGCCCATTGTCTCCTAATAAACAGCTTCACAGTCCACATGAGCCTCGGAGGG